GTATTAGTACTAGCATTATTGTTGATATTATCATTGTTGATATCACTAATATTAATATCAGCGTCATTACTAGTATTAGTATTAGTAGTATTGGTATGTTGATTTTTATTAGTGCTATTACTATTATGATTATTATTGATATTATTATTGGTATTGATATATTCAGCGTTGGTATTATTGGTATTATTAGTAGTAGTATTATTCATATTGTTATTATGATTAGTATCAATATTGTTCGTGTTACCAGTATTATTACTATTAATAGTATTAGTAGTACTCGTATTACTATTATCATCATTGTTATCATCATTATTGTTGGTATTGCTATGCATGATCTGACGATGGTTACTAGTAGTATATTATGATTATCATGATCATGATATTCGTAGTAGTAGTACGGTGATGATGGGTAGCATTAGTAGTATTAAGATTCGCATTCTTATTATGAGTATTATAAATATGATTAACAGTATTCTTAATGCGAGTTTCCTGAGTATTCGTAATACTACTATTAATGGTAATAGTCTTATTGATGTAAGTATCAATATCATTAGTATTGTCATTGTTATTTCTCCCCCTTTTCCTCCTCTTCCTCCTCCCCCTCCTCCTCCTCCTCTTCCTCCTCCCCTTCCACCCTCGGTGGTTCAAAGATGGGGTCCTGAGGGATGGGGCCCTAAAGATAGGAAGAGGTCCGAGGCTGGATTTCCATTGTTTGAAGCACTCCGTCCTTAGGACCCCATCCCTCAGGTCCCCATCTTTGAACCACCGACATTTGTTTCCTTTCTTGTCCGTGCGAGCACTCAGGGTTTCTCACGTGTCTTACAAGGAAATGAACTCGTTTGTCGGGTCCACCGCCTTGCTGCCGCCGTCGCCGCCTCATCGCCGCCCGTCGTTTTGGTCCGTTTGTCGGGTCCGCCGCCTGTTTGCCGCCGTCGCCGCCCCGTCGCCGCCTTGTCGCCGCCCGTGGCCGCCGCCCCTTGCACGCCCCCCCGTTGTAATCCAATCGGTTGCAACCCAACCGATTGCAACCCAACCGATGACAATCCAACCGATCGATTGCAATCCAATCGGTTGCAGTCCAATCGGTTGCAGCCCAGCCGATTGCAACCCAATCGATCGCATTCCAATCAACAGATTTTCTGTGCTAGAAAAGAACAAAGGTGTACCCCCCTTTTGGGTCTGCTCCCCCGTGGGGGTGGGCACCATACATACGAGCCTGCCCCAGCGCTCATTCGAAAGAAGTTATACCACCCCAGCCGAACCGTGATCGACCCCCCCCCACACACACATAATACCTTCGTCAAACAATACTATGCGCGCACATTCGTGCATCAAGAACCATGACTTCCCAACAATCTCGCGCATCAGAAATACGACGAGGTACGCACGCGCGTCGTCGCGCGCGCAGTCCAGAACCCTTTCTGAAACAGATGGAATCGTACGGATTTCAAAAGCGAGTGCCCCGACAACAGATAAACCACATGGTTGTGCAACACCTCTCGTTTACTATGTAATTATGAAGTGAGAGAAAACGTTTCAAACATGTGTATGTATATACGTCCATTAAAATGTAGACAGAGCCATGAATATGCGTGTTGGCGAACTCTTAAAGAAACCTTCGAATAGTCTGCATGTCGGAAGTATCCAAACACCTTTGCGCGCGTGCTGGGGGCGGGCACGACACCTGCGAAAAAAACACCGTGCGGGCCACTCGCGCCGGTCGGCCGCGCGCGTATGTCGAAACCCTTTTTTAGCTTCATCGCCGCGCGTGGTCACCATCATCGCCACCGGCGTCATCAACATCGGCGCCGTCATTGGATTTGCCGTCGTCATCGTCATCGTAGCCACTATCGTTGCTATCATCATCGTGTTTGCCGTTGTCAACATCACCCTGATACCGCGCCCACCCGAGCCACCGACTCGCACTGAAGTGCCCGCGCGCCAGCGCGACGTGCGAGACGCGTTGGGAAATTCCCGCCAGTCAGCACGCGCCTCCCTTCCCCCAGCACGCGCATAAGGGCGTTCGAATGATGTCGACATGCGCGTGCGGGAGGCTATGTTGGCCGCGTTTGATGAACACGCTGAGAAACCGAGGGCTTGTCTTCAGAATTCGTAAGGACGCGCGCGCAGTCCTTTTGGGGAAAATGACGTTGTACAACCATGATGTTTATGTTCGGGGCACCCATGTCTTTGGTATCTTTGCGACACCGACGGGTTGTGAAAAAAATACGGCATGCGCGCGCGATGACGCGTTCGTGTGCATGCCGCCCCATTGTTTACAAGGGTCGTTGCAACTGGATGATGTTGGATCAACGAAAGTGCGCGCATATATGTTGTTTCGCGAAGGACGGAGGTGGGGGGTTCGATACCGGCCTGGCTGTGGTGGTTTGAGTACGCTGTAAGCTGCGCGTCCCCAGCGGTGGCCGGTAATCCCAAAGGGGGGTGATCGATCAGATTTCCCATTGAGGAGGAAAAAACAATGTTGGCCACACTGCGTTGTCAACCCCACTGTTCGCGCAATCGTCCCACCCGCCCACCCACAACTCGGTTTGCAAAACCCGCGCGGCAGCGATTGCGATGACTGTTTGGCGCTGGCTGGCGCGTCGCTGTGGCCGCGCGAGCGCGCGCGGGCTCTCGTGCAAACAGGCCCGCAAGTCTCGCGCGACCGACGCGGCCGCGATTGCACTGTCCGCTGGGGACTTCCAAGCGCGTCTCGCAGGACGCGTACCATGCGGGCCACTCGCGCCCGCCGGCCGCGCGCGTTTGTCGGAATCCTTCCAACGACCTTTTTCCCCGACGCGCGGACACCTCTATCGTCGGCGTGATCAGCGTCGGCGCCGTCATTCGCCTTGCCGTCGTCCTCGCCGTGGTCGTCACCAGCATCGCTGCAAGCATCATCGTGCAAACCGTTGTCGACGTCTTTGGGTGACCCAAAATGGGTCCAGCTGCAAAAGGGGTGGTGCAATAGATTTGGGCAAGTGTCTTGCAAAGTTATTGCGCCGGAGACTTGTATTGCATTGTAGTGCAACCAATGTATTGCACGCGAAAATCCAGCAATACATTTGCGAATGTATCGCACGCCCCACATGTGTTGCAAAATCTATTGCACAAAAAAAAAAATTACGCCACCCCCTTTTCGCTGGACCCCCGTTTGGGTCAACCCGAAGGTCGCCATGAGACCGCGCCCGCCCGAGCCACCGACTCGCACTGAAGCGCCCGCGCGTCAGCGCGGCCTGGCGGGACGCGCTGCGAAGTCCCCAGCGGTCAGCGCCACTGCGGCCGGACCTCCAAATCCTCGGATCTTGAAAACCTCGGACCTCCAGGGCCTCGGACCTCGCGAGCGTCGGACCTCGATGGCCTCGGGCCTCGAAGGCGTCGGACCTCGATGGCCTCGGACCTCGAAATCCTCGGACCTCGAAACCCTTGGACCTCGGAAGCCCCGGACCTCGAAACCCACGGACCTCGGAGGCCTCGGACCTCGAACGCATCGGACGTCGGAAACCCCAGACCTCGAAAACTTCGGACCTCTCCAACACGTCGGACCGCCTCGGACCTCGAAAAGAGAGAAACAGAGAGAGAGAGAGGGGGAGCCAAACCGATACACATATATATATATATACATACATACCTACATACCTACATACCTACATACATACATACATACATACATACATACATACAGACAGACAGACAGACAGACAGACAGACAGACAGACAGACAGACAGACATAGATACATACATACATACATACATATATATACAAACATACATACATACATACATACATATATGGAGAGAGAAAGGAAGAGAGAGAGAGAGAGAAGAGAGGGGGGAGGGAAAAAAGAAAAAGGGAGAGAATGGAAACGAGGGCGAGAACGCAAGGGGGCACGGACAGAGGTGTAGAGAGATAAGAAAGTGCCAGAATGAGCGAAGAAGCAGGATAAGGCCGACATGCACGCAAGGTCTCCCTTCAGCTGCATGTTCCCCTCCCTTATTCACCTCCTCCCTTCATGCGCCTCTGATGGGCGCTCCTCATCTCCTTATCTCCGCCCCCTCCTCCCTCCCCTCCTCTGGTTTGTAAGTATGTATGTATGCACGTAGATGTTTGTAAGCAAGTATGTAGGTATGGATACTCACGTCAGTATATGCACGTATGTACGTTCATATGTACATATGTACATATAGACATGTACATATGTATTGATATGCATATACGCATGTATGTATGCAAATGTATGTATACATGTATGTAAGTGTGTATGTATGAATGTATGCATGTAGGTGCGTACGTACGTATGTATATATGTATGTATATATGTTTGTGGATATACACATGTGTGTATGTGTATGCACGCAGAAACGAGCGCCCGGGGAGAAGTCTTGCGCAAACGAGGCCCGTGGGTGCATGCATCCTCTGGGCGCCATATACGCCCCAAGGCGCAGAAGTTTTTTGGCTTCTCTGTCCAACTCGGGGGGCCCGCCAGCCCCCTCGCGAAACCTTACAAACATTGCTTCGAACCTCAAAGCGTCACTCCTCGAACTCGAAAAGCCCTCCGGCGCTCTCCCGACACCCAGGGCTTGCCTGCGTTGTTCGGGCCCTACGGCTCCATGCCGACATCCCCCTGGGCTTACCGACGCCCGCCCTCCCCGAAGCCGAAGAGCAAATTTGTCGAGCCCCGGGGTGCTGCTTTTCGAACTGGAAGGCTCTCTGGTTAAGCTTCATGGTGCGGGGCGGATGTAGCGCGGCGGGAGCTACGGGGTGCAAGCTGCGGAGATGTAAGCTCCGTGGTGAAGCCTGTTTTTGTTGTTGCGGGTACGAAGCGCGGCGCAGGCCGACGACCAAACACCGCGCAAGGAGGCGCCCGCCGCGCACCCGCAGAAGCCCTCGGCGAGGCGCCTGCGAGGATCCCCCGCGGCCGCTCGCGAGGCGAAGCCCCGCCCCGCGCACGCCCCCAAAGCAGCCGACGAAGACGCCACGACGCAGGGGCCATGCAAGGACCGAGCCGACCGCACCGCAGACGGCAGCGATCCCTCTCCTCCTGGCCCTCCACCTCCCTCCCCTGGCACTCCTCCTGCTCCTCCCCCTCCGACACCTTCTCCTCCTCCTCCTCCTCATCTTCCTCCTCCTCCTCCTCCTCCTCCTGCAACCCCCTCCTTTTCCTCCTCCGCCTCGTCCTCAGCCTCGTCTGCATCCTCGTCATCGTAATCCCTCAGCCTCCTCCTCCCTTTCCTCCTCCTCAGCGTCGTCGTCATCGTCATCACCATAATCATCATCATCATCATCATCATCATCATCATCATCAGCATCACCATCTTCTTCTTCTTCATCATCATCATCATAATCATCATCATCATCATCGTCGTCGTCGTCGTCATCATCATCATCATCATCGTCGTCGTCGTCATCATCATCATCATCACCATCATCATCATCATCATCATCAGCATCATCATCATCATCGTCATCGTCATCGTCATCATCATCATCATCGTCATCAGTTTCATCATCACCCTCGTCCTCATCATTATCAGCATCATCATCGTCATCATCGTCATCAGCATCACCAGCATCCTCCTCATCATCATCATCACCAGCAACAATAGCAGCATCATCATGACCATCATCAGCAGCATCATCGTCAGCACCAGCATCATTATCATCAGCATCGTCAGCATCATTGCCAGCATCATCATCACCAACATTACCATCACCATCACCATCACCATCACCATCACCATCACGATCATCATCATCATCATCATCATCATCATCATCATCATCATCATCATCATCATCATCATCATCATCATCTTCATCGTCATCATGATCCTCATGATTCGCATCATCGCTTACATAATCAACACCATCAAGATCATCAGCACCTTCAGCATCAGCATCGCCGTCATCATCGCTTCGGTTTGACAACAACCACCCTCATCATGATCATCACCAACATCGTCGCCATCAGCATCATCATGATCATGGTCAACATCATCGCCGTGATCCTCATCATCATTACCAACGTCATCAGCATCACCGTCATTAACATCATCACGAACATGAGCATGAACATATGCATGATCATCAACATTTGCATCATCGACAACCGCACCAACACAGGCATCATCATAATCATCGTCAGCATCACCATCATCCGCATCATCACCATTATCTTCATCAGCAGCACCACCACCATCAATAACATCATCATCGTCATCACCACCATCAGCATCATCACCACGACCATACTCATCATCATCAGCCGCAGCAGCAACATCATAATCATCATTATCACCATCATCAGCATCATCGTCATCATCATCAGCGTCACCATACCCAGCATCGGTATGAGCATCAGCATCATCCACACTACGATTGGTGAACGTCGTTAGCATCAAACACATCATCAATATCCGAGGCACCAGCAGCAGCACCGGCAACATCATCATCGTCACCATCATCACCATGAACAGTCTCCCATCCCTCATCTTTCATTCGTCACCCCTCATCCCTCATTACTCGTCCCTTCTCATCCTCCTTCCTTCTCGCTATTCTCCTCCTCCCTCCGCCGCCTCCTCCTCAGCCTCCTAATCACCCTTCTCCCCGGCGTATCCTCCTTGCCCGTTTGACCCGCCTCTTCCCCTCCTGCTCCGCCTCCTCCTCCTCCGCCTCCCCCTTCCCCTCATCAACATTCCCCTTCGGCCCCTCCTTTTCCTCCGACCCTTTTCGTTCTCCTGCCCGCACAACTCCTCATCACGAGCAGCATCATTATCAACAACATCTGTATCATCATTATCATCCTCATAAACATCATCAACATCATCATTGTCATTGTCGTCGCCATCATCATCACCAGCAGCCTCATCATGAGCAGCAACATCATCATCGCCACCGTCATCATCAGCACCGCAATCATCAGTATTATCATCACGAACATCATCACAAATATAATCATCTTCGCCATTGCCATCATCCGCATCATCATCAACATCATCAGCCGCATTATCAGCCTCACCACCAGCAGCTTAGTCATCATCAGCACCATCACCATCATCATCATCAGCAGCATCGTCATCGTCACCAGCATCATACTAATCATCAGCACCAGCAGCATAAACAATATCTGTCACCGTCCTCCTCGCCCGCAGCATCACCATTATTTGCATGTTCAGCATCATGATGATCGCCCCGTTCGACCTCAGCATCAGCATCAGCATCAGCATCAGCATGGTCATCATTATTACCAGCATCAGCATCATCATCAACAACATCATATGCATCGCCATCACCACAATAATCCCTCATCGGCATCCCCCATATTCCTCCTGCTCCTCCTCCTCCTCCTCCTCCTCCTCCTCCTCCTCCTCCTCCTCCTCTTCCTGTCCCTACTCACCCCTCCTCCTCCTGTCTCCGAATCATGCCTCACATCCTCATTTCCCTCATCCTCCTCCTTTCCTCTTCCTCATCATCATCATCATAATTTTCCACATCCTCCTCGTCAGTATTCTCTCCTTTTCATTGATCCCCTCCTCCAACTCAAAATCATCATCATCATCATCCGCCTCCTCCTTTCCCTCCCCATCCTCACCCCCCCGCCCTCCGCATCCGCATCCTCCTCCTCCGTTTCCTTTTCATGTTCCTCCTCCTCCTCCTCCTCCTCCTCCTCCTGCTCCAGCTAGTCCTCCTCCTCATCATCTCCTCCTTCTCCTCCTCCCCCTCATCCGTCCCCTCCTCCTCCTCCTCCTCCTCCTCATCATCCTCCGTATCCTCCTCCTCCTGCGTTCCCCCCGATCGTTCCTCCAGAGTCCCTTCCTCTTCCTCCTCCTCGCCCTCATCATCATCATCATCATCAGCATCATCATCATCATCATCATCATCATCATCATCATCATCATCATCATCATCATCATCATCATCATCATCATCACCATCACCATCATCATCATCATCGTCATCAGCATCAACATCATCATGACCATCATTATTAATTGTTTCTTCTTCTGTATTACCATCATCGGTATTGTCCTCACCCTTTCTCCTCCTTGTCCTCCTCTTCTTGCTGCTCCTCCTCCTTATCCTCCCACCCTCCTCCTCCTTCTCCTCCTTCTCCTCATCCTCCTCCTTCTCCTCCTCCTCCCCCTCCTCCCCCTCCTCCTCCTCATCATCCTCCTCGTCGTCCTGCTCCTCCTCCTCCTCCTCATCCTCCTCCTCGCCCTCCTCCTCCATTTCCTCCTCCGCCTCCCCCGCCTCCTCCTCCTCCATCTCCGTCTCGACGCAGCCCAGACGCGCAACATGTCTATTCGCGCCCGGCGCAAGGGGGGGGGGGGGGGCGGGGCCAGACGCCCACCCCGCGACCCCGGCACCCCGCGACCCCCTGGAGCTAGGGGCCGCCACCCCCCTGGCGGGGCACGAAAGGGGTAGAGGGGGGACGACGAGAAAAGGAAAAGGAAGAGGCGACAGGCACACCACGTAGACCGCGATGAGCACCACCAACCCGCCGAAGGCGGGCGGCCCCCGTGCCCCCCCGGCTCTTCAAGTACCAGTGGACACAGGTTACCCCCCGTCGCCGTGCGGGGCACACGGCGCGTGTTTGCGCGCATGAGTAACCTGGCCCGCCCCCACAGGCCCTGTTGCCCAAGGGGGGCCAGGCGGTACACGTTTTCAGCCGTGCCCGTAGGCCGACCCTCGCACCAACACCCTTGCCCCGCGACGTCACGGGAGGACCAATACGGTGGCTGGGCAGGCACCACGCAGGCCGACGTGGATCGAGGTCCACGCCGGCCCAGGAGGTTTATCCTCGCGGCCCAAGAACGCTAGGTCCCTGAGGGACCTGAGATGGCAGACCTGACCACAGCGGGACCACCGCTAGAGAACGGGGGGGGCGCCCCAGGTCCTTTAGGGCACCGACGCCCCTAGCCCGCTGCACCGCCCCCGCGCAGGCGACATCTTGGCGGATGTCAATTCACCACAGGAGCCTCTACGTGCCGCCCACACGCCGAGGTGCCCTCCTGGAGGCCTCCTCCTCCTCCTCCTCCTCTTCCTCCTCCTCCTCCTCCTCCCGCCCCTCCTCCTCCTCCTCTTCCTCCTCCTCCTCTTCCTCTTCCTCCTCCTCCTCCTCATCCTTCATTATTTTTCCCTTCTGAATAAATCCCCCTGTCGCACCCCGAGGCGAGTCGGAAGGGCGGGCTGGGCGTTTCGCCTCATGCCCCCGTACCATCTATGAGCCTCAAGCTTGGAAACTGCCAACAGCTTTACACATGGAGGGCGGGTGTTGTTCACAATGCGGCGTACGCCTTAGCGCTGCGCACAGTCGTTCCAGAATGTTGCAAGACTGCCACAGATGGAGGGCAGTTCCGTCTCACAATGTGGCTCTCGCCTTAGCGCTACGCACAATCGTTCTAGGAAGTTGTAAGAGTTTAACGGGTTGAGGGCAGCTCTTTTTTCAAAATGTGGTTCTCGCTTTAGCGCCGCGCACGCTCGTTCCAACATACTGCAAGAGTTTCGCGGAGTGGAGGCGGTATCTTTTCAACATGTGGCTCTCCCCGTAGCGCACACATCGTTTAATCATTGCAAGGGGTTCAATGGTGCTCATTGGTAACGTACCAGACATTGTGTTTTGGAACGGTTCAGGACTGTCGAGGCGCAACAGGTACGGTGATTTCCGGTGCTGATGTCCCGAATGATGGTGCGGCGCGAATCAGGATCGTCAAGACGCGACAGTCGGGTTGACTCGTGGCGTTGAAGTCATGAGAATGATGCTCTGGCAAGCTTCAGGATCTTCAAACGGTTGTCTACCAACGGGGCACTTTTCCCAATGGAAATGAATCCTTGCAGGTGCCTATACGGAGCTTGGAGGGAGGGTGTATTCCAACATCGTTGATGGGGCTTGGGTTTACACTGGTCCTTCTCCTCCTCCTCCTCCTCCTCCTCCTCCTCAGCCTCCTCCTCAGCCTCCTCCTCAGCCTCCTCCTCTGCCTCCTCCCCACCTCTGTCTCCCGCATCCTTGTCCCTCGCCTCCTCCCCAGCCTCCCCAGACCCAAACCACCACCCCCGCCAGAAAGCGGGCCCAGAAACGTAGCCGTGCCCGTAGGGGACTGGTGGAGGAGGAGGAGGAGGACGAAGAAGAAGAAAGGAGAACAGGGAGGAGAACGGAGAGGGAGGAGGAAGGCGAACAAGGAGTAAGGAAGAGGAGGAGGAGGAGGAGGAGGAGGAGACGGAGGAAAGAGAGGAGGGGGAGGAACGATGAGGAAGGCATGAAAGAGTAGAGGGGAACGAGGAGGGGGAGAGGAAAGGAAAAGCAGGAGGAGAAGAAGGAGGAGGAATGATGCAGGAGGGAAGGGGAGGAGGTATGAGGAGATAGGAGGAGGAGGAGGAGGAGGAGGAGGAGGTGGAGGATCAGGAGGGGGAGGAGGAGGAAGAGGAGGATAATACATAATGCAGGAGGGAAGATGAAGAGGTAGGAGGAGGAGGAGGAGGAGGAGGAGGAGAAGGAGGAGGAGGAGGAGAAGGAGGAGAAGAAGGGCGAGGACGAGGAGGAGGAGGAGGAGGAGAAAGAGGAGGAGAAGGAGGGGAGGAGAAGAGGAGGAGGAGGAGGAGGAGGAGGGGAGGAGGAGGAGGAGGAGGAGGAGGAGGAGGAGGAGGAGGATACGACGCTATAGGGAAATGTCGCGCGGAGCACTGACATACACCTTAAAGCGGGGGGGGCAATCGGCCTCCCCCAAACGTCCAAGGTGACGCCCCCCACCCACCAAGGGGATCGCGGCAGGGGGCGACGGACGACGGCGGCGGCGGCGGCGGCATGGGCGGTCCTGGCTGTAATCGTCGTACAGCAGGTGCGCGCGCGCGCGCGAGGGGCGCGCGCGCACGCGACACACGGACGCCGACAACGGACCACCCAGCCACTCCACCAACAAAAACAAAACGAGTTAAAAGGCACCAGGACCGATCCAGGAGCCACGGCCAGAGTCCAGAAGATTCAGAATGGGACGGGCCGAAAAAGGGAACAACTCAATGCCCAAGGAGACGCAGCCAGGAAATTTCAGCATCGTCCACCCTGAGGGGCCTTGGTTGTGGAATGCGCCGTGAGTTCACACGGCCTTCGTCGGCAGGATGAAACCTACCTAGAAACAAACGTCGGTTCCGCTGGGCTCGCTCGCTCATGACGAGAGGTGGTGAGCACTCCAACAGTAGGTGACTGGCCACACCTGAGCTGTAGAACCCGCATCGAATGCATAGAACAATGTGGCCTTCTGAGACCCAGCATCTATGACCTCGAGAAGCGATTGGCGGCACGATACCCGTCAACGGCAGAAATGCGGCTGGGACCGTAGTCTGCGACAGCGACGGGCGGCCTCTAGGCTGAAGCCGCTGCCGCTTTGCTTGAGGCATATCAGGCACAAAGGCTGGTCCTTCCCTGTCGGGGCATCTCGGACGACTCGGACGACTCACGACAAGAGGGCGAGAGTCAGGGGAGGGAGAGGACCGATCAATAGATTGGACAGCCTGTGCCAACTCAGTAGCATCAACAGTGCGACTCGAAACGACAGGAGCGAAACTTACCCTAGCCCGCACGGAACGTTCTGACGGCGAGGCAGACCTTCTCCGAGGGGGTTCTTCACGCAGCAGCCTCTGCCGCGTCGCACGGCCAACAGAGGGGCTGCGGGAGGCGGGTCGCTTCGCCCTCTCCACCCCCTCGCCCAGGGAAACACCACCCAAGGTGCAGCGAGCATTCGAGGGGAGAGGCCCAGAGAGGTCAACCTCGGTGCCTGACGAGGTCGAAACTCCCATAGGCTGCACCCCTCTGCCAGGCTGACCCTGGGTCAGGGGGGGCAGAGCCTCACGAGGCTCGGAGCCAGCGTCCAAACCACCAGGAGAGAGCGAAGTCCCCCTGTGTCCACGGCTGGACGCAGCACGCGCAGGGCAAACCCAGTTGGAGAGACGCTGCACCCTCTCCTCAGATCTGGCCCCCTTCTTGCAAAAATCACACCGCCAGAACTTGTCCCGAACCGGTGTAAAAACGTGTCTCAAATGCGCTTCGGGCGCCCTGGAAGCTTTGGCTTTCGTCCGAACTTTCATCTTCCGAGGGCGCCGAAAGGTGGCCACGCGTCCATGTGACAAGTGAGACGAGTGAGCCTGCAAAAGCCATTTGAGCACACCCCTCACAGACCTGAGGGCCATCCTCATGGAAGCGAAAGCAGCCTTGCTAGCTGAGTGGAGGTCCCGCCCGCGGCAGGCGGCGAAATCGGCCCATCTGTTGGACCGTGCCTCAACGGAGTCGCCAGATTGGTGACCCCTGACATGCGAAACTTGAATGGCCTCTCCAAGGCCGCCGAGGTCATCAAGCTTCCTCCAGATAGCCTCCCAAAGGTCGGTATTTGGTCGCCTGGGACCGCAACAGAAACCAGGGCCCAGGACAAGGCCCTCAACCAGGCCATAAAAATCAGTATGCACATGTATGGGCAAGATGCAGACAACTAGAACCTGCAGAAAGGCATATAACTCAGACCTAGGCGAGCTCTGAATGGGTCCAGGAAGGGCTCCGTACACAAGCAGCTGGATGTCACGCCTAACATACTTCACGAATCCCCATCCCGCTCTCGTAGCCTCAGGCCAGTACCATGCTTTTCTGCACGCACCGTCCGTGTAGATGTCCCCCGTGACATTGTCAAGGGACCCGTATTGAATGTGCCAGCGTCCACTATCGTCTCGTGGGGGCACAGGCGGAAAACAAGACCGAGGTGCCATGCCTCTTGTCCAGAACCAGGAGCCAGGCGAGCGTGGCGGCAGGCCCCGACAATCAACACTACGCATTGCCGCTCGCTGCTGTGCTGCACGTCCGACACACTCCCAGGAAATATGATAAGAGGTGCATACATCACAATCACACGCAGGGCAGCAAGATGTGCGAGCGTATCCATGCCGATAAAGTCGATGCGGGGACCACAGTCCCCCTCCCACCAAGGCCCTCAAGAGCCCATCCTCAGACACCGTAAGCTTCCAAGGGCCTTCAGGGTCAAGTTCAGGGTCCTCCTCGGGGTCATGCGGACGATCCTTCAAGAGTCCCAAAATAGGCTCCATCCAATATCCGAGAGGCTCCTTGGGGTCCATATTATCATCAGCAGGGTTTGACCTCAAACTCCAAGCTTCCCACATACGGCGGACAGCTGCAGCACGAGCGAGGTCACGCACCGTCACAGGTGCATCTGTCAAAAGATCCAAACGATCTCCAATATCCGTAACGATACTAGAAGCTGAGGTCGTCCTCCAGCCAAGCGCCTGCACAGCCAAAAGCATAGCTCCTGCTGGGCCAGCGACGTTAGCCCAAGGCTTCGCCGCTTGGAGGACACGGAAGACCTGTCGCGTCCAAGCCTTCTGCAGGGTGCTATGTTGAACACCACGGTCCCGAAACAATAAGGCCCACTGATAAACTGGTTGAACCCAGCAGGCCACTTGGGGGTCCTCATACATGGAGCCCTGGAGGCACGATGTTAACCACGCAGAGGTAGTAGAACCTGGAGTATACCAAGTGCCCCGCATAATCCCCCTCATGGCCTCGACAAGCTGCGGCGGAGCCCCGTGGACCCCAACTCCATACTGCATGGCCGACGGAAGGGCCTGCTTAGCGAAGCGAGCGGCCAGGGGCCCAGCTTTTTGAATCCGTCGAAGCCGAGGTTGACGCTTACGAGTATTGCGAATACGTTCACGGAGCCTACGACGCCGAATAGGGCGGCCTGCATTAACCTCAATCCCCAGGACTTCCAGAGCTGACTGATAGCAAAACCCGCGCCATGCCAATCGTTTGGCAATCTTCATACCAATGGCGGGCGAACTGCAAGTGAGCGTCATCTTGTGGCGCGCAGGCGGCAGACCAACGGCGTGCAGCATGTCCACAAGGATGGAGAGGAGGGAGCAAGCAGCATCAACAATAGCATAGGCAGTACCAACGATGGCAATCGTGATATCGTCGGCGTAAATGTCAATCGACCTGTCAATGTGCTGAGTGTGCCCAGACAACGAGTCAAACGGCGTAATCATCACACACTGCAAACAGAACATCGCCAGAGGACACCCAGGCAATATTCCCCGCGTAGCCCATATGGGGGCCGAGAAACACGCATCCCACGAGAGTCGACGAGCGGACGCATACATGCGAACAGCAAGCACCATGAGGGTAGGAGGAAAGTCATGCTGCACCGCCGATCCAAGTAGCCGTCTCCACGGCACACGGTCAAAACACTTTTCAATATCTATAATCGCATGCACCGTGATGGGGGAGTCCGCCACCTCGATAGAGGTCGATTCAGCTTGGACCAACAGTCTTGCGGCAACATCCGTCGTGCTCTTCTGGGCCCCAAGCGCCAGGAAGCCCCGATTCAACGAGCTAGCCCAAGACCGAGCCCAATTGAGACGTGCCTTACCCCAAATGCGATAGATAGACGGAAGTAATGCAATAGGACGATATCCCCCAGACGGCTTAATCAGGAGAACGATGTGCACATGCTTGATTAGGGCAGGCCACTGGCCCCACGATTCACAAAGATGGAATAAATAGCCCAAAACTGCCAGAGCACCATTTGACGCAAGTGCCCAATGCCGCGGTCGAAAAACATCTGCTCCGACCGCTGTACCTCCCGCGAACTGTTTGGCAGCTCGACGAAGCTCACCGATCCTCAAAGGCGGCAGACGGGGGCCCTTCGCAATCAGCTCTTGCAAATCCCCCAGGTGATCATCACCAGAACTGTCCTGGACACTAGCCACACAATGATCAGGCTCATGATCAACTCCAGCCCAGATCGACCCCCAAGCGGCCCTCTGGGCCGTGGCAATATCATCAGGAAAGCTGCTAGGGCCTAACTCAGTTTCAACTTCAGCGAGCTGCCACCCACGCGGCTTGGTCCAGCGGTGAACGGGGCCTGACTTGCCGCGCAACGCCTTCCTCCGCCAGGATGAAAAAGCCTTAGATCTGGCAGACCCAAGTCTGCGCTCTTCAGTCTCAGCCGCTCGACCGCAGAAGTCACCAAGGAACTGCAGCATGTTGCAATAGTACACCGGTGGCTGTGCCGATATACACGTGATGATATGCACAAGGTCGTTCACTAGGTACTTAGGCATCGACATGCGAAGTCTACCATCCTTCCCATGCCCACCCATAAAATCGACTAAGTGCGCCCAAATACGTGTGCATAATATAGTGTTATTGCGCTGGTATGCGTGACACAGATCATGAATGCGCTGCTGTAATGTACGAAGTGCGCGTGATAAGCGCGTGCCACTCGGCTGCTGCCGTGCCAAAGCGCCTCCTGCAGTGCTGTACGCATACCGTGGGCCCTCCGCTCGGCCCGAAAACTTGGCAGGCTGTCCGCCTGTGTCAAAGAGTGGTAGCAACTCCGCCTCCACTCCCTTGTACAAGTCTGCAGCAAGGTCATCCAAGCGTTGTGCATGACCTGCAGCATCACCGAAACCTAAACTTGCATCACTACGCATTAGCTGTGGCCATTCTACATCTGGAAGTCCACGATCAGCATAGACCAACTCTCCATCCTCGTCGTCATCTCCCATGTCGGGCGACACGACAGGGTGCACAGGTAGAAGTTGGGGCCCGAGTAGACGGCGAACTTTCTGAGCGCGAGGACGAGCCCCAAGAGAGACCTGGATGGGATAGTGCACACGCGCAGGGTATCCTCCACATATAGTCGGAGTACCCATCGCCGCCGCCAAAGCATCACTGGCCAGCCAGAAATCAATCTTTGAATAATTACCAGACCCTGGATCCCGACAAGTGCCTTCAGCCGTGGCAACCACCCTCGCATCAAGCTTCGTGGTGATGTACGACTGTTCAATAACTTCTGGCTTGACATTCCAATCACCTGCCACGACAAAGGGCAGCCCGTAATATCGAAGGGATGAGCCCAGGCGTGAGATGCGGGTCGAATTCGCTCCGCCCAGCTTCAATCCCTGCTCGAGATACGAGGAGGCCACGACGAAGCCTCCACGTGGTCCAGCACGAACCAGAACGGCCACACTGAAACCAGGTACGACAACATGATCACGAAGGCAGGCCGATAGCTTGACCACACCGATGTTGCTGCGCACAAAGAGGCCAACGCCTGCACGTGGCTTGTCTGACTCCGAAACAATTGCATCCGTGATGAAAGGTTGCCATCCTTGCCGCACACACCACTCTTCAGCTTGTAGCCGTCCATTCCCATGAAGGTGCAGCTCCTGCACGGCAACAACAGAAACATGTCGCATGTTGTCCAGAAAATCCTTGGCCTGGGGCCATCCTGAACTGTTGAAACTAACCATCATCAGCGACTTGCGTCGTGAACCACGAAGGCCTCGCCGCTGACGGTGAGCTGGCTGATCGCTGGACCAAGTCATTGAAGATGACCTCTTGCCACTCTTCGTAACAGCAACCTGCACAGCTGCATGGCCATCATCATTGCTCGGTGGTCGGAACCCTCTGGCCGCCTGTTGGGTGGGCAGCGCTGAGCAGTGCGTACCATACGGCCCACACTGGACCGCAGGTCGGTACCCTCTGGCGCTGCCAAGCCCCTCCAGCACGGCTGAGCAGTGCGTATCACCGAGCGATGGCAAACTAGTGCCTGTATTAGTCGATGCTGACGCCGAGATCCTAGGGTCACCCGACACTGCATCAATCAGAGAAGGTAATGAAGGCTGGTCAGCATGCAGTTGCTCATAGTCATCTCGACCTGGGTCGAAAGGCCTGATAGCACCGTCGCTGAACAACCGAGGCATGTCGAAGAACTGTAAGTCGTTACCCAGCGTCGTCGTCCATGTCGGACTCATCCGTCCCTGCAGCATCATCGTGTGCGGCCAGGAGCTCGTCCCATGGATGTGAAGCTGGAATACCAGAGCCAGAGGCCAACGCAGACGGCGCATGAGCCCGTCGATGTTGTGCCAAGGCCGTCTGCAATTGAGTGACATGCGTGCTGAGCGATGCACATAGCGCTCCAAGGTTCTCGGGCGTGGTGGAAGGCGCTGCCTGCACAATCTGCTCCAAGCGTTCGAGAGCGCCCGACACGTCACGATCACCGCCTTCATCTGGAGCAGAGCGCCCTGTGGCCAGTACCGCAGCACGTGCAGTAGTGACCTCTGAGTGAATCGTCGCCAGGTCCGCCGTCGCAGTCTGCAGCTCAGCCGCCTTGGTGTCATACTCTGCTTTGAGCCTGTCCACCTCACTCTGCAACGCGGTAACCTCCCGAGACTTCGCAGCCTGTCGATCCAACGCTCGGCGGAGCATGTCGTCAGGCGTTCGTTGTGAACGCTCCGTGGCCTCTGCGGCCTGGAGCTCCTTGCGTGCAGCGACCACCAAGCCACTACTATCATCCAGGCCCAAACGACGCAAGGCTGCCACCGCCTTGCGTGCACGAGTGACTGCCTCAGATGCCGATGGGTCTTCTGAGGGCTCCTTCTCTCTGTCATCGCGGGCCTTGTCTTTGCCCCGCCCTGAGGACGGTGGCCTCGACGATCGGCGCCTTGTGCGGTCTGGAGGTCCAGCAGGGTCTGGCTGGCCCGACTTGTCCCTGCCACACATGTAGCACCTTGCCGAGGTAGCGAAATTACGAGCATAGCCGCACTGACGAGTAGCCGTGCACGACCAGCGCGGCTCACGTGGGTCATCCCGCTGAGATCCACGGCCGCCCTTGCCTCCTCCCATGAAACGGGAGGCGTGATGTTGAGAAAGTAGATGACGCGCACGATCCAGCCGTAACAGGTGTCGCGCAGACTGACGCAACCGCCGCTGCCGTCGATGCCACGCTGGTGACCTGGACCTCACTGTCGTCCTTGCCTCGCTTCGTCCGCACCTGGGCAGACGCAAGGCAACCAGAGCGCCCCTGCCTATCGCGCACACGAGGCCGCGGGCACGGGGCTGGGCGCAGGCGGCAAAACGCGACACGGGGAAAGGTCTCCCGTGCCTCAAGCCCACGCCTTGAGCCAAAATGGCTACGGAGGAGGAGGAGGAGGAGGAGGAGAAGGAGGAGGAGGAGGAGGAGGAGGAGAAGGAGAGGCAGAAGAGGATGAGGAGGAGGAGAAAGAGGAAGAGAAGGAGGAGGAGGAGGAGGTGGAAAAGGAAGAGGAGGAGGAGGAGGATGAGGAGGACGAGGATGAGGAGGAGAGGGAGAAGGATGATAAGGATGATGATGATGATGATGATGATGATGATGATGATGATGATGATGATGATGATGATGATGATGATGATGATGATGATGATGATGATGATGATGATGATGATGAGGAGGAGGAGGAGGAGGAGGAGGAGGAGAGGAGGAGGAGGAGGAGGAGGAGGAGAAGAGAAGAAGGGAGGAGGAGCAGGAGGAGGAGGAGGAGGAGGAGAAGGGCGACGAGGAGGAGGAGGAGGAGGTGGAGGTTGAGGAGGAGGAGGAGGAGGAGGAGGAGGAGGAGGAGGAGGAGGAGGAGGAGGAGGAGGGGACGGGAAGCAGGCTGGCTTCGCCCGCGGCGTCCGCGGCGGCCAGGCCCCGAACGTTTGCGGCGGCCCGCGTCAGCATGTTCAGCGTCACTGGCGTGGGCCGGACGCCCGCCTGGGCCGCCCGCGCGCGCCAGGCCTCGGCCGCCGACAGGTTCCCCAGCCGCGCTGCGCTCTGCATGAGCGCGCTGAGGGGCAGCGCGGCGATGGGGGCGCCTTGGACGAGGAGGAGGGGGAAGGAAGGAGGGAAGACACTAGCAGGAGGCCCTCTGAAATGGCCGTGCTATCGCCGCCTCACTGGGCGCGGCGGAGGAGGACGGGGGAGGGAGGAGGAGGCAGGAGGAGGAGGAGGAGGAGAGGAGGAGGGAGGAGGAGAGGAGGAGGAGGAGGAGGAGGAGGAGGAGGGGGGAGGGAGTAGGTGGGCGGAGAGGAGGAGGAGGAGGAGGAGAAGAAGAAGAGGCGAGGAATATCACCATGAAGGGGGACGAGGAGGGCAGGACGAGGAGGAGAAGGAGGCTCGAGGGGGATGGAGGAGGATTGAGGAGGATGGAGGAGGAGGAGGAGGAGGAGGAGGAGGAGGATGGAGGAGGAGGAGGAGGAGGAGGAGGAGGAGGAGGAGGAGGAGGAGGAGGAGGAGCAGAGGAGGAGAGAGGAGGAGGAGGAGGAGGAGGAGGAGGAGGAGGAGGAGGAGAAGGGCGAGGACGAGGAGGAGGAGGGAGGATGATGGACAATCAAAATTATTCTGCGTCTTTGGCAATCCTTTGGGCCCTCTGGAAGCCTCCGGGAACGTTCTGGGACTTCTGGGGACCTCCAGAGACCTCCAGGGGCGAAGTCAACACGACAAGGAGGAGGAGCGATGAGGGAGGAGGGAAAGGGAGGAGGAGGGGGAGGAGGATGTAGGAGGAGGAGGAGGAGGAGGATAGAGGAGGAAGAGGAGGAGGAGAAGGCGGAGGAGGACGAGGAGGCAGAGAAGAAGGGAACCCTCCGCAACCCCCCGCACCCCGCCCCGCACCCCGCCCTCCGACGGCAGGGGCGGAGAGGCCCCGCGGCTGCAGGGGCGGCCCAGCCGCGCTGGCGGCGGCGCCGAACACCTCTGCACGTCCCCTGGAGTCTAGGCCTCACGGTGAGGACATTGACCTCGATGGCTTAGCAGTCCGTGGCCTCGATGGCTTGACAGGCCAAGCGCCCACAGGCTCGGGGGAGGCGCGTCAGAGCAGTTCTGGCTCGGTGCTGCGGAAAAAAGCATCGTCGGTCGAGGCCAAAGCTTTCACACAGCAGTGAACGTGAGAAACCATTGGATAAGAGGTTTGTAGAGGCCTCCCATATGGGGTCGGAGAAAATGGGGTCAGAGGATCTCGCCGCATCGTCGATGCATTGGCGATGCAACGCCGATACATCGGCGATGCATCGGCGACGTCGGCGATGCAGCGGCGACGTCCGCGTGGAGAAGATTAGGCTCGACATCGAGCGGCAGCGGCGATGCATCGGCAATGCGGCGTAGTCCTCCCATCGATCGAATCCGACACCACCTGGGAGGCCCGGAGCTGCGGTGAGGGCATTGGACGAGGAACTCTTGGGTCAGGAATCTGGGGTCTGGAGGCTGGTGAACCTCCAATCGTGGCCTGGCCATGTGCACCACTGCAGCCCGCATCCTGAGCTCAGGACCTGAGCCAGCGTCCCCGCCGCACCGTGGAACTCAGGGTGCCCTGGCCAGAACGCAACATCGGCGAGCAATTAATGATGGACCTGTTTTCCACCACCACCACCAGAAGTTTGAGGGGGAGGGGGTCCTCCTCCTCTTCCTCCTCCTCCTCGTCCTCGTCCTCCTACTCCCCCTCATCCTCATCCTTCTCCCCTCCAATTGGTGGTGGTGGTGGTGGTGGTGGTGGTGGTGGTGGTGGTGGTGGTGGAAAACAGGCCCATCAATTAACGGTGGTGTGTTGTTGTTCCTGCAGCGCCGCACTGGATGGCCCGCTCGAACCAGCACTCGGCCACGGGCAGGTCGTTCCTCTCGAGGGCTGCGTCGACGACGGCAGAGAAGGCCGCATCGTTGAGCACGACACCAGACTCGACGGCCTCGGCGTACAGCTTCTCGGCCGCCGCCAGGTCCCACTTCTTGGATGCGGCAATGATCATGGCCCCGAACATGACAGTGTCCAGCTGCACCCCGTCGAAGACGTCCGTCTTCCAGAGCCTCTGGGGAAAACCACAGAGACACCGATACCGCTGCCCCCCAGACCTCTCCCCGGGTGCGGTCTGACCAGGCTTTCGAGGCGAATGCAGCGGTGGCGACGAGGGCCTCCTGGGAGGCCCAAAATGGCAAAACGAGAGAAACTCAGCGGCATCGAGATCTCTTCCTCCTGTGAGCCTCCCCGAGATCCCTCTCGCGAAGGTCAGGTCGCAGTTTGTCCCGGCGGTCTCCATGAACATCCGCATGGCGTCGGCGCTGTTGTTGGACGCCCGCACGCTCGCGGCGAGCAGCTGGTCGAGCAGAAACTCCGAGGCCGCCACGTTCCTCGCGTTAACCGCGGCCTCGAAGGCCACCCGCACGGTGTGGAATCTCGGCTCCATGCCCACTTCAGTGGCCTCAAAATGGCTACTCTTGAGCTTGAGGAGTGGACAAAAAAACGACCCCGCCCTGGGTTATGAGAGCGCGGTCTGTAAATCTCCTGGGAGCTCCCACAGGTCAGAGAGCCGCCAGGACGCCGCGCTACACGCGCGATACGCATGGTTTACCCTGTCAGCCCACAGGAGGTT